CAACGCACTGTCTAATCTATATTCCCAGTAATCCTTTAACAGCAACTAATAATTGCATGGTTGACCATAGAGTACCAATGGTCAGGGACTTGCAGCCATTGTGAGAGGGAAGAAAAGCAGTTCTTGATCTGCCTTATAACAAGCAAAATATAATTAAACAGTTGAGAGACTTACACAAGCATTTCTCTCTTTCACGTACCGCTTGCTAGTTGAGTCTAGGGTAGGGTAGCAGTGGTGGTTAGTATTCAGATTGCTGTTTAGGTGGTGTGCTTAATACGGCTTTAACTGCCTACTTAATAGTGAAGGAGGTTCAAAATTGCTAAAAATTAGCACGCTCGCTTGCGTTAACTGTTTACGTAGTTGCCTGTTGTCAGTAAAAGTTCTTCGGCTTGAATATGAGTCTGTTCTTCCAAGGGCTCAGAGCCAAGTTAAGTTTTCTGGATTAGGCGGAAGCTCATGCTGCTGTTTTGTGGACAAACTGGAGTATTTTTGAAGTATTACGCTTGATATTTTACCAATAGTAATAATGGTGAAAACGGGTAAGCGTAAAAACAAATGAAAAGGTTGTCTGTGTCGTTCCCCAGACGGGCTGCGAAGGTGGTGAGAAGGGGTGAGTATTTATAACTATTCCTTTGCATTTGCAAAAACCCTTGGCAGGGCGGGGGGGGCCAACAACAAACAGAAAAGCTAACACTCCCAGCAATCAGTGTTGAGGAGAAGGGAGAAAATGGTCTGTCTTCAATTGCGCTTAATCAAAGGGATTAAAAAGGATGTAAAATCAGACTGTGTGTCTTTAGAACCTCTCTTGCCCCAAGAACCATGCAAGGAGGTGCTGCTGGTGGCACCCATCCTGCCTGCCCCGGGGGCTGAGCCCCTTGCTAACATGACAAATGCTCGGCAGCCCGTTATTAGAGTAGCGTATGACTTCACGTGGGTGGTGGGTGTAGTGAGGTGGGCGTTGGGCTCTTCTCCCAAGTAGCTAGCAATAGGACGAGAGGAAATGGGCTCAAGCTGCGTCAGGGGAGGTTTAGGTTGGATATTAGGAAAAATTTCTTCACAGAAAGAGTGGTCAAGCACTGGAACAGGCTGCCCAGAGAGGTGGGGGAGTCCCCATCCCTGGAAGTGTTCAAAAAACGGGCAGAGGTGGCACTTGGGGACATGGTTTAGTGGGCATGGGGGTGTTGGGTTGACGGTTGGACTGATGATCTTAGAGCTCCTTTCCCACCTTAATGATTCCTAGTTTTTACTTTCATTAAAAATAATCCAGCCACCAAGCCAGGAAACATGAATTTACTACTCTCCCCTGAATTGGTTTAGTGGTGGAGTTGGTAGTGTTAGGTTAATGGTTGGACTGGGTGATCTTAAAGGTCTTTTGACCTAGATGATTCTATGATTCTATGATTCTATGATTTTCCAACCTAAATGATTCGATGATTCTATGATTCTATGATTCTATGTTTTGTACTAATTGCCACCTTCAAATACACTGTTAAAAGTTATGATGCGGCTGGCGTTAAAGTAAACTTGATTTTCACTCTGTTATCCCCACAGACGTAGCGTGTTGATATGGAGCATTAAAGTCTAGCGGGCTGTCGCAAGTGACCTCTGAAGCATTTAGGCATTAGCAGCAGGTTCAGGGTAAGTCCCTATTTTTTAGGGGCTTAGAACTTATCTGTACATACTAATTTCATATCAGTGCCAGCACATCCACTCTTGGCATGGTGGTGCATTGCTTTGCCAATTTACCACGCAATTGGCAGGGCTGATGGTAAGGGGCGATTAAGAGGTTTTTGACCAGCAGGTCAAAAATGGTGATGGAGGAAAACAACCAAGAAATCACTCACCCGTCGCCTGCCCTTAAACCCTCCCGACTACCTTTGTGGTCCCTGGGTGGCCACGGACATGGCAGCTGGAGGTGGGAATGGGTCCTCAGAGCTGCGGAGACTTGGAAACCCAAGTTGGTCACAGGTCTCTCCCTTCCCCATCCTTACAGAATCATAGAATCATAGAATCGTTTAGGTTGGAAAAGCCCTTTAAGATCATCCAGTCCAACCATTAACCTACACTACCAAGTCCACACTAAACCAATCAAGGGTAGACTAGACTAAACCATGTCCCCAAGTGCCACATCTGCCCATTTTTTGAACTCTTCCAGGGATGGTGACTCCCCCACCTCTCTGGGCAGCCTGTTCCGATGCTTGACTACCCTTTCCGTGAAGAAATTTTTCCTAATATCCAATCTAAACCTCCCCTGATGCAGCTTGAGCCCATTTCCTCTTGTCCTTCAGGCCACCTTGCCCCCAATCTTCCCGAGGCAGCTCCAGTTCCCGGTGGGAATTGGTGAGTTGTGCGTATGGATGTAAAATCTGACACAAATTATGAGAAATTTCTCAACGCGAGTTGCTCTGTGTTGGCCGTAACGTGTTCCTTGGCCAGAGGGCAGGCCAGGGGCCGCTCACCTGGCGGGAGCATGTACGAGATGGTGCAGAGGAAGGAGAAGACCTCCGCTCTCCCCGTTCCTGTGATGTCGTTCAGTTCAGCCATTGCTCTGCTGGCATCGGCCACGCTGGGATGGCGCAGGCATCCTCAGCTCGCGGAGGTATGAAGTGTTTTCGTGTAAGGAGAGAATTTGCATGCGTTAATTTTTATGTGAGTATTTTATAGCGCTTTATAATGATATTTAACAGCATAAAATGTTGGCACACGCTGAAAATTGGTGAAAGTTCAGCCATCTAATTTGGGCAGGTTATGCTTACAGGCACTCACACTCGCAGACAGTTTAATAACAGTATTTGGCACTGTCTCTTAGAGCTGCTTAAACTAATTAATGCATTTGCTCCCTACAGGATGAAATTGAGTTTTCAGATACATTTATAAAATGATGTGCATGATTGCTAAATATTTCATTCTTTTGAACTATAACTTCGAGTGTATTATGTGGGTGCAGAGACAGTATATATTCTCCCATGAAAAATGTACCGTGGCTCTGGGAAGAGGATAATCTCTGCCCCTGCTTGTCGGAAGAGGATAATCTCTGTCCCTCTCTTAGCAAGTTAAAAGGTACTCAATGATTTGGGCATCACTTGGCACGGTGCTGCGATTGCTGGGGGGGCTCTGGAGCTGCCCCCTCCTCCCGCGGCCGCTCGGGGCTCCAGCGCTGGCTGCGCCCGCTTCTCCTCTTATTCCTACAGGCTTCAGAAAGTTACAGGTCTGTCACATCCCAGCCCGCCACCTCCCCTGCCAAAAATGAGGGAAAAAAAGGGGATTTCTTTGGACTCGGGCCCCGGCAACGTGCAGTCACTCTGTTTCATTGATTTAAAAGATGACATCAGGCAATAATTCCCTGAGACCCCTGCCTAGGCGAGGTTAACACTAATCTTGCCGGCTCAAAAAGAAGGTTAAAAAAATAATAAGTAACGATTTGAAATAAACCTTTCTGAAGAAATCACAGTAAACAAAATCTGTTTGCCTAAGGAAACCCTCCTAGCAATCAGCTAGTAACACAACTGCTTGTGCTAATGAACCCAAAGCTGTTAATGTGGTTTCTTCAGTTAAATTGATTCATGAATTTTGAAGAGAACATTATCTAATGAATTTTCTTTGAATAGAAAGCAATTAAAAGGACAAATCAGTCTGATTAACCCCAAAGTCACCCTACTGCCACAAATGGTGTACAGTTTGAAATTATATCATAAAAAACTAGAGCAGATTTGCTATCTCTTTGCCCTCTACTAATCCATGTAAATTAATGAACAACAAAGTTAATTTCTTTGATGACCCTTTTCTCGTATCACCTGGATTATGCTGATGTTTAATTTGCTTAATGTTATAATAAAGACTAAACAGATTTTTTCAATGAAGTGATTATCATTCCCTTCAGTTAGGAAGTGATTTTTATTATTTAACACACACATAATGGTGTATGGGTTGCCTTTAAGAACAAAACCCCATTTCGCTAGGTTCCTATGTAGCGTAATCAATGTCTTTTTTGACCACTGAAGAAAGAAAATGTTTTTAATCAGTTTGTTTCTTCGCCAAAGCAGGATACCGAAGCTCTCGGCTGGGGGAAGGGGTCTCTTTTCCTGTTTCTTTAACTTTTTTCTTTTTTTTTTTTTTTTTTTTTTTTATTCACCAGCTCACTCCTCTCAGTAAGTTATTCACTAGTTAGATCTTCAAAGCTTTTACAGGTGCCCTGGAAGAGCAATAGGTGTTCAACCCAACTAACGGGGCTATCGGCTTTCCTTTTGTAAAATAATCCTGGGTTGGGAAGGTAAAACCCTGAGATGCAGAAGAAAGCTGGTCCTAATGCATTTGCTTATTCATTATTTCAGCAATTGGAACACTTAGAAGCAATTTGCTGCTGAATTAAAATTAAAATAATGGAAGTTACATTCTTTTTTTTTTTTTTTTTTCCCGAGCCCTGTATCATTAAGGATGTGCCGTACATTCAAGGTCACAGCTAGTCCTTACATTTTGTAATGTCTGCAATGCTGAGCAGTAGCTTGGGGGTCTCGACTATAAAATGCAGTCAGCCAGGATAATACCGAGTCCGCTGGCTCTAGGGCTTCTTCTGCCGCGTGTCCCAGCTGAAGTTGGAAATTAGCTGGAGATGCGAGGGCTTTGTAAAATAGGTAGAGCCGGTTATTTCCTCCCTTTTTAATTTGACTCTATGCTAATTTATACTCTGCCAATTTAATGGAAAAACCACATTGTATGAGTTAACAGGATAATTGTACTTGAAGCAAATTAAAAATATAGGAAAATCAAAGCCTTAAATCCTTTTTTATAGTGATCGGTTACTTGAAGCGCTCTTTCTAATAATCATGTATTTAAATGTAGTAATATAGGATACAATAACAGGACAGTGCATCGGGGCTGTTTAAATTTAAATTAGAAAGCTGCTGTTGAGACTCTGCTTCGCGTTGGGTTCTTTGAATATTTCATCTCGGGTTTTTTTTCAGCCGTGCGTACGACCAGCACTCGCTTCGTCTCCTTTGCAGATTCGTTCACCAGGCAGGTGCTGTGGACCCTGTTGAGAGACGTGAAGTTTGGAGAGGCCGTTTCCTACAAGCAGCTGGCAGACCTCGCAGGCAACAGCAGAGCGGCGAGAGCGGTGGGAGGAGCGATGAGGAGCAATCCCGTAAGTTCACGTCAACTTTTAAATAAAGTTGACGGAAGATGGTGGATTTAGAGAGCTTTGCGGGCTAAATGTCATTAGTCTAAATTTATCTGCTATGAAAACTGGTCTACCATGAGTAATAAGGTCAGTAAGTGTTTTTAATCAGCAATAACGCACAACCCAGTTTAATGTGATTTATTCCCTCCCATTTATGCCGTTAGATTTGAACAAGAAACATTGCGCTGCTTTTAATTCATCAGCCTCTACACGTTTTGTTGTTCTCAAGCTTTCTTATACATTCTTAGGTGAGGGAACTCTTTTATCCCCTGACACGGACCTCATTTTGACAGGGGGTGAGTGGCTTTGGTTGTGTTAACAGCGGTCCATCCTCTCTGGCATGGATATGTTTCTGAAAATGTGGAAGAGGAGGGATTTTAAATCACGTAGGTGCACGTTTGAATCAAATCCCTAATTGTCAATATGTTTTTCTCCCCATGCTGTCCAAACCAGCTGTAAATGGCATTTCTCCGTTAGATATAGGTGAGTTGCCTGAATTTCAACCAACCGGGGGGAGTAGCGCTCTAGGTTAGTCCTGTGGATTTTGGAAAAAACAGTATGTTGTTATACTTGGCCTCTTCGTCTGTCTTCCCAGTAATTATGTTTCCCTTTTAGTTGGCCAGGTTTAGATTTCCAGACGTATTTATGCACCCGAACCACGCTGATTGGTGTGGGACCGGTGCTGCAGCCTGCAGCCGCCTGGTTCCTGTGCAAAGGAAAGGGAAAATGGCAAAGAGAACGCCGCTCTATCTGTCTGTACGCATTGATTTCTATTAATATCACTGTGGCCTTTTTGGCTATTCTTCAACATATTTTCCCTCATTACCACTTGCCCTGAGCAACACGTGTCTCTCCATACCCGAATTCCTCTCCTTTTCTCCAGCGTTATACCTGCCGTAATCTTTGACCTCCTGTGTTGTTTTTACATTCAGTCCTCTCAGTATTTTCTTTAATAAGGTACATATGAGACTGCAACGTCTAGTTGCAAAGTGGGTTAGAAAATCTGTTTTCACAAGAGCTGGTGGCTTTACATATAGAAATAGTAAAGGTGAGGGGTTTTTTGCCGTGCCACATATTATCTTTATATCTCACCTCATTCATAAAATCAACCTGCATATTATGCATAGTCAGCCTGCATATTATGGCTCATAGGTCTGAAGACCCAGGTAAAGATTTAGATGGGAAATAGGAGAAACGTAGTGAATAGGTGCTCCCATTGACGTACGACAGGACTGCGGGTGTGTTTGCATGTGGAATATGCATGAAATTACACATTAACTACAGGAGATGTATAGTGATAAAAACATGTTTTGGAATGGGCAGGGCTCTTATTACAGCACTGATTTTTTTTTTTTTTATCATCGGCTTTCTATTACGAAATATTGGGGTGGTAGTATATTAATACAGCTTTTTTCCTAAAGCTATACATTATTATCTATAACATGCTTAAAAATTTTCTTCTGGGGACAGAAAACACTGCAGCCGACGTACAGGATGGGAAATAACAATAAGAAGATAGGACCCCGTTTAAAAAAAAATCGCAGTAGCCTTGCTGTATATTTTCAGAACTATTTTCATCCTTCCTCACAGGGGAAAAAGCAGGAATTTTCACACCACAACCTGCTGTTACCGCTACTTTGGATGCTGCTGCTCCACTGCAGCCTGAGGGCAAAGCTGGGTACATTTCTAGGCGATAGCAATTACATATCCTTTTGCACAACACTATATTGTTATTCTTTGAGAACTGTTTCCTGTAGCTTTGCATTGTATTGCCTTATCTTAATGTACACCATATTATATTGGAAAGCATTCCATCATATTAAAATAGTTTGTATTGTCAAGTACAATACAGTGTATTGACGAAACGTAGCTTTATACCGCTTATCTGAACTGGTTCATAGGAAAATTTGATACACGCTTAAAATATTAGGATGTACTTCTTTATTGAGCTTAGAAGCTTAAACCCAGTAGACATTATGTGAGTTTCTACGGCAGTGTGCGACCTGCATAGAATTGCAGGATACCCGTGAGCGTTGTACGTGTATGAACACACTTGCAGTCTGTTTATCAGATGAGCTATTGAGCTCTGAATCTAACTAAACAGTTCATTAAACTGAACACGTCACCTGAACTGCAGCATCATTAACGTATCAGCGCGGCATGCAAAGAGCTGTGGTGTTAACAACTGCTACACCTGCCGCCCGAGCTTTAGGATGTACATACTGGTTTTGAGGAGCAATTGCTTCGGAATTGTTGCAGAAATGTGATGTTTTGTTAAGCAGGAGATTAGTGATTTTTGTTCACGGGAGAGAAGCTGAAAGCAGTGAATGCTTTTATTGCGAAAGCGAAAGAAAAGTGAATGCTTCCATTAATGACTGCTGCAGAAGAAATGCAAAATAGCAAAATCATAAGACGTTTGCACCTTGAGATGCTTCCTATGATTAAAGGCCTAAATTACAAACATGATGACTAAATCATAAACATGATTTAATGTGGACAGTAATAACAGTAAAGATGAGCGTTTGAAATCAACCTGAGCCTGGCATTGCTTTGTTACTCAAATGCATTGATAAAATTGCAGATCTCACCTTTTTCCGCAAAATACCAGAGCATTTCTCCCTTCTACAAATCAGGGGTCGGTCTTTAATTTTGGTAGTGTGCATTCCACAGGTTTTCCTTTGTAGTTGGGTTGCTTCACATAATTCATACGATGACCTTCAGCTTTATGAGAAGGTGGAATAGGTGCCAGCAGCAGCTGAAAGACGCGACATCTTCGCCTCAATTTATGCCAAGGACATGGCGGGGATGGCTCACCTTTTGCAAGAGAAACTTCAAATAGTTTACTGCGGTTCGCATTGATTGCAAGGTCTGTGGTCCTCAAAGGGAACCCATAAAGTTCAATTAAAAATCTCATTAGACTAGTATAGGAGGATCAAAAAGAAATCACAGAGACTCATGGGAAATGGCGAATGTTGGGCTGATTAGTCCAAGGCCATCCTAAATGACTGTTCTGTGCCTTAAATAAGACGTCTTGAACGCTCTGTTAATGGCAGTCATAGCTGCGTACGTTGTTTTTTATATTCCCTCCGTGTTGCTGTTTAGGCTAAAGCCCAGCCAAGTGCCCAACTTCACGGTAATACCCACCTCTCCCAAGTCAAGGATGTTACTCAGCCAAAATGTTTTAGACATGGGAGGTTGGAAGGAGTAATCGCGCATTTATGAGAAGATTGTGAAGTATGGATTTGAAACGTTGCGGACGCGTAAAACTACTTGTGCGTTCATTCCTTCGGTGGCTGGCAACAACCTGGGACCCGTGCTGGGGCACGTTACGGTATTTGTTTCTGTCGGGGAGGAGGGGAAGAAAAAGCCATAGGACATGAGCGAACGGAAAGATTATTTTCTTGCTAAGTGCGATTCTTGCTGTACGTTAGAACTTGGTATTTCGGCTGTTTCCGTCACAGCCTGGCTGATGGGGGTTTGATGGTTTGGCAATTTCTGGAGGTCTCCAGCCCCTCAGCAGCGTGATGGGACGCTCGGGTTTCCATTGCCTCAAATTGAAAACTCGTCGCGAGTGGAGCGCCGCAGCGGAGCGCCGCTCCGCTCCATCCTCAAGACGGAATTTGCTAAACGCGATTCAAAGGCGATCGATGCCTTGCGCAGGGAGTTTTTTTCCCCACCTTTTTTCTAAACAAACGCATTATCGAGGAGTTAGTTTATTCACAGATTGCCACGAGCGTTAATGACCGCCCGAGTCTTGTTCTGCCAGTCACCCAGATGGCTGTTGATAAAGATTTAGCATCATGTTCTGAGTGTCAGGGCTGTCAGTAGTGCTGAACCATTTGACCAGAAGAAAAAACGCACAGGGAGCTATTGATTACAGCTTCTCAGTGTCACTTGTTCACCAGGATTTAGGTATTGATGAGGCTGCGAGTTTTCCCTTGTGGGCCTCTACCCAGAAGAACAAAAGCAAAGTTGGAGAAAATATTCAGCTGGTGCCCAAATCAGAGGGACTCCGTTATTGATCCGAGGGCCCCTTCATGTTATTTTTGTTGGAGACAAATCTATGGGTTTGGAAGTTTTATAGCGTTTGAGGTAGGGTCTGTGTAAGTGATGGATTCGTGTATTAGATGAATTAGATTTCACAGCGTGAAGATTTCAGCAGAGCTATAATATTATGAGCTGCTTGGTTATTGATAAAAATTACATTAAATGTAGCTGAGGCATTAGAGCTCCAGACTAGGGTAGTACTCCCTTCTAAAATGTCCTTAGGGCCCTAATAAATTTTAGCAGGCTTAATTATTTTAGTAGTCTGAAAGTTGTCACCACAATTAAGCCAAACTTAAGCAATATTCGACATTTTTAAATTACAGCGCTGATACAGCCTGTGGACCGCAGTTTCTTCTACACGCGACACTATGGAGGGTGACGTACGGGCGCTTGCGTGTGTTAGGACCAACACGGTATGAAATTCTTTATTTCAGGCATGGAAAAAGCTACATTTATTTCCTACCTTCCTCTTCTGGCTCGATGGTAAGCGGCTCAGCCGCGCATCCCTGCGTTTGTGAATGGGTCCTGCACCGAGCCAGGGATCATCCAAGACCCCGCGCGGTTTGCCGGCTCACGCCACCTGAAAATAAAGTCCTTTTTTTTTTTCTCCTCTTGGGCACCCCTTCCATCTTCTCGCACGATTTAGCAGGAGAAGTCAATAACTTACCTCCCTGACAAAATTCCCCGGTCCGTGGGCCCCCCCCGGCGCGAGTGTCTTCGCACCGTCTGAGCGGCAGCGGGGAACTGGCTCAGAAGGAGGTTTTGGTGCCTGTCCGTAGCAAGATTTACAGCCTTACCATCAAAATATGCTGATTTACTGTGGATATTTTTAAAGAATTGCAAATTAACCTTGGAGATTTTTTACAGTGCATTATTATGGCTTGTTATGGCTTTGTCACTCCAGAAAATCTGCCTGC